CAAAAAGTACTTTCAATTTTGAGTATGTTCGCTGCCGCTGTTTATGCAAGCCATATAAAGTTTACATATAAAACTTTAAATACAAACTCGAAAAAAGCAATTTTGTACTACTGGTAGTAACTCAAAGTTTTTTTTTACTGTAGTCCACAGTAATTTGTAACCCGGACATTTAACAGCCAATTTATATTTAAAATTGTCCCCTGAATTCGAAAAGACAATTAAAAATTATAAAGGTAATGTTTGAGATATAGTCAATTCCATATTATATGAAAAATTCACCCTACACCTCCAAGTGGTAAAAGGAAATTGATTATATATAAAATATTATATGAAAAGTTGACTTTATCTCAAAAACTGTTTTACTTTTAAAATTTTTGATGGCATTTTTTGATTTATTTTACATAGGAATTGACTGCTAAATGTCCGGGATACAAATTGCTATTGACGAAAATTATTAGTGGCTGCTTTTTCGCTATGACAACTAATCATTTTTGATTAATTCATTTTTAAAAAGTAGGAATTGCAATTAAGCAGAGTCCTGGATCAACATCAATCCAGCTGGATACAACGCGGATCCAGCAATTCATACATTTTTTAAAGAAAATTAAAAAAAAATTAATACTTAAAAAACTTGTACTTATTCTAATTTTTATTTTTATAAAAAAATAAAATAGGTATCAATTTATAGAAAATATAAAATAAATGAAATACAATTTTAATTCGATAGCAATTAAATTAATTGATTAAATTTATTGATATTGATAAACAGTTTATTCATATTTTTTTAATATAAAACATTAATTTTACCAATTTTCATGTTTTGTTAATTTTTAAAACTTTCTGTATAATATAGATTTTTTTGATAAATTGGTTTAAACTGATTAGCTAGCTATAGTAAATTACTATTAGTAATTTAAACCAAAATAAATAAAAATATATATATATTATTTTTATAGGACTAAAAAACTTGTATGAAAAAAAATATTGTACTATTTGGTATATTTAAGTATTTTTAGTACATTTATCCTCTTTTAAACCACATAATATGAATTATATATATTGGACAATTAAATATTTGAATATAAGATTAAACTGATTTCTACTTTAAAAGCTTGAACAAAATTAATGTGATTATTTCCCTCATTATGAACCAATCAAAATCCTTAAAATTTCGAATAAATCTCGTTTAAATAAGCGATTAAATCACTAGAACTATTTAACAGCGACTATTTCCCTCGTCTTAATTTCCACCAATCACAAACGCGCAATTTTGAAGTACAAATGGTTTCTAGGTGAAAAAACTGTGTGAGCACCTGTCAGCAGTTTTTTCGAGTTTACCCGCGGCAAAACTTGACAGCTGTTTTCACCAAAAATTGCAATTTATATTTTAATTGTTAACTGTTACTCATGAAATAGTCTTGTCAAATACCATTCGTGCATCTAATTTTTCCTGTGAAAAAAATCGAAAAAACACAATGCTAAGTAATATTTTTTAACAAAATGCATTCGTGCAGGTGCAAAAATCCTCCTCTTCGACTCGGATTTTTGCTGCCACCAGCAATCATGCATTTTGTTAAAATATTACTTAGCAATGGGGCATTCCACGTTACTCGGTAATTTTTGTCCCGCCCGTCGCAATTAAAAATTGTGAGTAAAAACCACAAGTTATAAAATTAATATTTTATAATATTATTTTTATTGTGCTTATAACTTATTAAAAGCATAATAAAACAATATTTTGAAATAAATTTTATAACGTGTAGTTTTTACTCACAATTTTTAATTGTGACGGGCGGGACAAAAATCCCCGAGTAACGTGGAATGACCCAAATGTGTTTTTTCGATTCTTTTCGGAAAAATTAAATGCCTTTATGATATTACTTACGATTATTTCCCTCATTATAATATGAACCAATCAAAAGCCTTGAATTTTCGAATAAATTTCGTTTAAATTACTAGAACTATTTAACAGCGATTAAATTTTAGCCTCCATATTGGATTTTTGTTTACGATTTTTTGGTGTTATTGACAAGTTTTAACAAACATTTTTTAAAAAACAATAATAAAAGTTATCTAGTTTACGAAATATCAATTATTACTTATTACATACCTTAAATTAATGGAATTTTCTTAAAAAAATATTTATAAATTTTGACACATACGTCAGATCTTATGAATTGTCAAATAGTTTCCTTTAATTCGAGAAATAATCTAGACGTATATCATTTAACCTATAAATTTAATCTGTCAAACTATGCTCAGTAAGTTTTTTATTTGATTTTTCTTTTTGGAAAATAGTTCATGTAAAATAATTAAAAATAAAACCCCTCGACCGCTACGCGGTCTCGTGATTTTATTAAATTATTTTGCATTTAACATTTTCCAACAAAAACCAAACAAAAAACTACAGAGCCTAGTTTAACCGATTAAATTCATAGTTCTCGTGATATAATATATGATTAAATTTTAGCCTCCACATTGGATTTTTGTTTACGATTTTATGGTGTTATTTACAAGTTTTAACAAACATTTTTAAAAAAGCAATAAAAAATAACTTATCTAGTTTACGAAATATCAATTATTACTTATTACATATCTTAAATTAATGGAATTTTCTTTAAAAAACTATTTATAAATTTTGACACATACGTCAGATTTTATGAATTGTCAAATAGTTTCCTTTAATTAGAGAAATAATCTAGACGTATATCACTCAACCTATAAATTTAATCTGTCAAACTATGCTCAGTAAGTTTTTTATTTGATTTTTCTTTTTGGAACATAGTTTCATGCAAAATAATTAATTATTTATTAATTAATTTTTATTAAATTATTTTGCATTCAACATTTTCCAAGAAAAACCAAACAAGAAACTACTGAGCCTAGTTTAACCGATTAATTATTTTTTATAATTATTATTATTACTTATTATTATTACAGTCCACCAACCATAAGAATTGTTTCTAAAACGGTTTTAAACCCCAGCACGTTGGTACATTTGGCGTTTTCAACTTAAAAAATATATAATCTTCCAAACATTTTTTTTTAAATAGTGATATTAGCTTTACTTTGCAAGAAAAATTAAAATTGCGTATGTAGCCGTTGTGAAGATATACACTTAAATGTATTTTTTTTTTAAATAAATTTGCAACATTAAGCTTAGTCTCTGTGTATCGCCTCTTTTATTGAGGTTTTTGGACATTTTCCTATTTCAATGGCTTCACGAATTGTACGTTTGATTCTGTATTCGATGCTAGCCAAGACCCTTGTTTTTTCAAAGTCAATTTCCCAATAGAAGACATAGAAGTACGAGCAATCGAAACGGCAACACTAAAATCAAAGTTATGGCTACGGTACGTAAAAGACACATTTGTCATCTGGACCCACGGAGAAGAGAAACTGAAGAAATTCCTGGACCAGAATTCCCAAAAAGATTAAGTTCACAATGGAGAAAGAACACCAATTACCTTTTCTGGATGTCTTCATAATCAAGATAAATAATGGCACACGCCCAGTCACACCACCACCCGTCACAACTGCAGTCAATCATTAAGACACTTGTCACGCGAAAGGCTGGCGGATGATGATCACAAGAAACAAGAAGACCTGAAATTCCAAACGACGCTACAGCAAAACGGATTCTCTAAAACCATCATCAAAAAGGCTCTTAGACCACGACGGTTAAATACCACAGAGGACGAGAACAACAAACCAACTTCGAAGGCCTTCCTTCCCTACGTGAAAGGGACAACCGAGAGAATAGGCAAATTTCTCAAAAAACATAACATTTACCGCCACAAGAAAGATCGGTAAAATACTTTCAAACGCCACACCAAAATAAAGATAGAGGCACAAGGGGTGTACGAAACTCCTTGTAATAGTTGTGACGGAAGCTACGTTGGGCAGACCAATGGACCTATCAATGTTAGACGTGAAGAACTTCGAAACGCAGTCTTAAAACATCTTTCTTAGCTGAACACGTCCGAAAAACTTCCCATGAAATTGACTTTGAAAAAACAAGGGTCTTGGATAGCATCGAACACAGGACCAAGAAACCTCAGCACAAGAGACGATACACAGAGACTACCAAATGCATAAAAACCAGCTCTTACAACCACCAAAACGCCACGCAAATTAACGATATCAATGTTCTGCTTTAGGTTTTCACGGGCGTTGTATGTATTGAGGGTTTTCCGCCATCTGCTGTGTTGTCGGTTTATGGTTCTTAAAAGAACCGTATGTCTGACGAAGTTTCGGTACAATCTCATGAGATACATGCATGTACCCTCTTATCTGCTGGGCTGCTTTTGTTGCTCTGCTGCTTTAGATTTCCATTGGCGTTATATGTATGAACTTGCAGCAGAGCAGCAACAGCAGTCCAGCAGATAAGACCTGAAGATGGTACATGAAATTGTACCGAAACGTCGTCAGACATGCGGTTCTTTTAAGAACCAAAAACTGACAACTCGGAGCAGATCCCGGAAAACCATCAATATATATATATAGGTATATATATATATTTATATATATATATATATATATATATATATACATAGGTACCTATATATATATATATAGCGAATTGCTGTGGTCATTTTCACTAGAATTCTAGAACACATGTTAAGCTTATTGTTGCGCATTAATTTATAAAAAAAATACATTTAAGTGTATATCTCCACAACGGCTACATACGCGATTTTAATTTTTCTTACAAAGTAAAGCTAATAATATCACTATTTAAAAAAAAAATGTTTGGAAGATTATATATTTTTTAAGTTGAAAACGCCAAATGTACCAACGTGCCAGATTTATTTAGTTTTTTTATTGAACTAAAAAATCTTAACTCTGGACGTTTCAAAGTTTCATTTTAGAGCTTAAATAAAAAAATCGCCTTACATAACTAACTCTTCTCTCCAATAAAACGCTTACGCAGATAAATCCGCAGCTTTAGAGGGATCCAAATGAGCACCGCATTATAACATCTATGTGTTTTGTTGCAGATCGGCTCCGGCAGAACAGGCTCCTCAATGGACGTGGCAGTGCATAAATCAACGGTGCGAGCGGCAGCGTATAAAGAGCGACGTAGGTGACGTCGCGTCGCTCGCGACGTGCAGCATGCTTTGCGGCTCGACGCAACTGTGGCCCCAACCGACCGGCCCGGTCACCCTCGGCAGCAAAGCGGTGAGTGATTGCACCGTGCCCTTCGGGTGCGATTTGTTTAGTTGATCTAAATGGGCACGTCATTAACGGCTAAAAGCGTGATACAGGGTGAAGGCCAGCAACCGGATGGTTTCAAATAATCATGATTATTTTAAACCAGCACATTACACAGTACGACAAAATTTGATTTTTTCCCCTTCTATGAAAAAATCCTATAAATTTTGAAAATAGACTTAGCGTTTTTTCAGATCACGTCATTTTTTCTTTAGAATGCTATCCACGCTGGGCCGAGCCAACCCAGGGTGCGCCCGGGCGGCAACTATCGAGGGGCGGCATTTTAGAAAATATTTGTACAGAAAGTGACGGTAAACTTTTTAATATTGTAATTGATTCTGATCCAAGTGCATGGCCTACACCTTTATCTGACAAAATAAGGTTAATGCTAGTAGAAAAGGGTAACCTACTAAATAAGAAAACAACTTATCCCAAAGACGCTATCACTAGAAGTTACTGAAATAAATATTTTTTAAAAACTTTACCAAATGGTGAATCCGTTCAACGGACTTGGCGAACCTTAAGCCGGCATAAAAGCTCTAATGATCATATTAAATGTTGCAGCAAAATGATTCAATTACAAACTTCATTAAAGTGTGGCTCAACAATAGATTATTTACAGGAAAAACTAATTAACAGTGAACAGAAAAGATGGAGTTCTGTTTTAGAAAGAATTATATCGGTTGTTAAATTTTTAGCCAAGCAAAACCTAGCTTTTAGGGGTAGTTCTAGTAAATTATTTTGTAATGTTACGCGTTACACGTCTAAATCGCAGCAGAGCAGCAACAGCAGCCCAGCAGATAAGACCTGAAAATGATACATGAGATTGTACCGAAACATCGTCAGACATACGGTTCTTTTAAGAACCAAAAACCGACAACACAGAGCAGATCCCGAAAAACCACTAATACATACATAATAATTTTATTAAGTTAAAATAGTGTTTTTAAGATTTTTTTTCCTTTAAGGGGCGGCAATCTTTTAATTGCACCCGGCGGCAAAAACACTTTGTGCGGCCCTGTATCCACGGTATTCGGCACATAATATATAAGCTTTGATAACAGCTAGACTGTATATTTTTAACAGCATATTTTTTATTTACTTAAAAAATCCCTAAAAGTTATTTTTAGAATTTATCAAATAAAAGGGCTTCACAAATATTTTCTCAGAAAACCCTCAAATCCGTAAACTGAGATATAAGTTGAAGTATTTTTATACAAAATTTCATAAAGATTGGTAACTAGACCAGTGCAGAAGCCTTTAAAAATGGTAAAAAGAGAAAAAAAATAACAGTAGGATGAAACCCATTGGAAAAGGAGGGGAATATAAAAAAATTAAAGGAAAAATAAATTACGGGCGATCTGAGTTCGGGAAGTGGGAGGGGGGGTTTTAAGGGTAAAAAATGGTTTATCTCGATTTCCGGCAAAACTACAAGTCCTATGAAAAAAAGTTAAATATCAAAGTTGTAGGTAATAAAAAGATCTACAACTTTTATATTTACAATTTTTTTACATAACCTCAAAATTTATGTGAAAAATACAAAAAACCAAGTTTTTGGTTTTTTATTTTTATCTTTATAATATTTTTTGCATTTTCTGAGAACATTTACCATAGTAATGTATATTTTTTTACACCATCAGAAAGTAGAGATTTCAACAAACAAAAAGCACACCGACTTTTTGAAAAAAGCTGATATTTTGACGCGAGAATTTTCGATTGAAAATTAGGGTGCTTTTTTGATATTAAGTCAAAATAAGGCGAAATAATAAATATTTCAAATCAAATAAATTACAGTGTATTTGGGACATAAAAAGGTAAGTTTTCACCAAATTTCGTGGAAATTTTTTTTTTTCAGGTTATGTAAAAAAATTGTAATTACAAAAGTTGTAGATCCTTTTATTACCTACAACTTTGCCATTTAACTTTTTTCCATAGGACTTGTAGTTTTGCCGGAAATCGAGATAAACCATTTTTTACCCTTAAACCCCCCCCCTCCCACTTCCCGAAGTCAGATCGCCCGTAATTTATTTTTCCTTTCATTTTTATTATATTCTTCTCCTTTTCCAATGGTTTTCATCCTACTGTTACTTTTTTTGGTTTCAAAAATTATCGACCCTGGTCTAAACGGCATTTTAGAGTTCGAGTTTTTTTACTTATTATGCGTTAATTTTGACGCGCAGTGTATAATTTTTGTAATATGTTAAAACATACATTTAAAGAAAAAAAAATGATTTGTAACAAAATAGAGAATTAAAAATCTGTATAGGTGAAAATAAGGATGGCTGTATAAAAAATTCAAATGACGTGATTTCGTGAAACGGTGAGACACTGGTACTTTTTTTTAACCTTTATTTTTAATATCTGTTAAAATTATTCATGGGAGAAAAATCGTGTTGAACTGTGAAATAATAAATAACAAACTAACTTTAAACTACTGGTCAAAAAAAAAATTCCAACTACAGGGTGTTGGATGCTAGAATGCTCTTTTTTAAAAGATACATTGAATGATGTCTTCGAATTTGTAGCGTGTAGTATTATATATCATTAAAATCAGAAAAAAAATATATTTTTAATGAAGTCAGAGCCAACTATGGTTTTCATTGAAAAAAACATAACTTTGGATCATGTCTCTTAATCTAAAAAAGCTAAAAAAATATGTTTACACTAATAAATTCTGTGATAAAAAGTGCCTATATAATGTCTTAAACCTATATTCGTAACTTAAATATTAACGGAGCTACAAGCATTTGTCAAAATTGGCAAACATTGAAAAACAAACACGAATCGAAAAAATTCGAAGACATCTTCCAATGTATCTTTAAGAAAGACAACGGGGATGTGTGTTTGATTATTTTCTAGAATTTGTATTTACTGAGGAAGCCTATACGGACAACCAATTTGGTACACCCTGTTTATACCATACATAGAAAATCATACACCCTTACCAATATTTCAACTCAATTTCTCTGACACCATTCCAAAATATGTAAACACTGCTTTAATCAATGAAATTATTATAAAAAACATCTTCTTAAAATGTGGAAATGCTATACTTTTATATTAGGATGGATCCAATAATTATACAGAAACAGAATGTGCCTTTTGGGTAGAGGAATTTAAAATAGAGGCACAATTTAAACTAAATGAATCATTCTCCATATATACAGCAGAAAGAAGCATTTCCCATCCTCCAAGCACTTAATTGGATTAATGAAAACATTCGCAATAAAAATATTAATTCAGCCGTCATTTTGTCAGACTCTCAATCAGTGATGTTATCGATTAAATAAAAACTTTTCTGTTAAAAAACCCAATAATGCTTATTAAAACCCATAATATTCTTAAAAATGCTGAAATAAATATAACAAATATTTGGGGTATGGTTCACAGCAATATTAAAGGCAATGAAATCGTGGATACTTTAGCCAAGCATACAATCTAACCCAGGAGAAATAGAAAAAATTTTTCCTTACTCTGACTGCACAAAAAATTTTATAGAAAAAATTTAAAAAACGTGTAAATAGCAATGAGAAATTTAAATAAAAACCTTAAAAAACCCTTATTGTCTAATACATCCTACCTTACCCTATAGGAGAAAATTTATATTAATCACTTTTCTTCAAACAAATTTCTATTCTCTATAATAGCAAGACTAAATACAACCTGCTCATTTATATCGCATTAGTTTAATTTAATCCCCTATTTGTTCCTGTGATAATTCTTCCTTTGCCATATTGCACCAACAGAGACCAAGTGGTGAAAATCGACACCAATTTCCTAGAACGGTTTTGTTAATGTGTTGATGTTAATGGGAATCAATATTTTACACAAAATGTATCTTAAATTCTATATCCCAACAAATATTATTTTACCAGTTACTTTTTTTTAGAGCAAACATATGTCAGATTTAATTCTTCACACATAATGGATGTTAAATGCTGCGTTTCAACGAATATTATTTTAGCAATTAAATTGTTTCGGGGATAAAATTAGTGTTTATGACTATTTAAAAACCAGTTCCTGTGATTCCTTTGCCCCACCCTGTACCTGTGTTGGCATAACAAATAATTTATGGCTGCAATAACACCTTTTTAATATTTTTTTTAAATTATGATTTAATTTTATGTTTAAAAAATGTCTTAAAACTGTCCAGTTTATTTTTTTATGTCAAAATTGGATTTCTTAATCATATGTTTAAAATTAGCATGAAACTTGTGGTATTTTTGCAATTTTACCAAACCAATAATAGGTTTTCACGCTCGACAGTAATGCGGTAAGCGATTGGCCGATTGCCTGCGGGTTCAATGTATTTTTATGAATGGCGATGGCCCATCATTAGCAGCAGAATTGAACTTCAAATAGTTTCCTAATAGTTTTAATTGCTTTCTATAGTTTAAAGTTTAGGTTAAATTAAGTTTTATTGGATACGAATATTGAACGTTATACTTTTTCAGGTGACCTTCAACCATCGCCTTCTTGACTTCTACTCAAAAACAACAGGGCCTGCCAACGAACTCCTCCTGGCGGCTTTCTCGATAGTCAACGACTCGATATCAGGACTGGTGCAGAACTCCGACTACATCCACCAAAAGACTGACATAACCAAATTTAAAATTATCGTGTCGATTTTAGATGCAACCACGGTTAAATTAAAATTAAACACCGACGAGAGCTACACGATAACCTTAAAACCCCACGGGACAGAGTTAGTGGGAAATATAACCGCAAAGACGTTTTTCGGTGCTAGACACGGTTTGGAGACCCTGTCGCAGCTTATTTGGTGGGATGAGTACCACGAAGGTGGTACGTTGAAGATACTTAAGGGTGCCACAGTGCAAGATAACCCCATGTTCGCCTATAGAGGGTTAATGGTGGATACAGCTCGAAATTTCATGTCAATGGAGAGTTTGAAGAGAACCATAGTCGGCATGGCAAGTGTTAAATTGAACGTGTTTCATTGGCATGTTTCCGATTCGCAAAGTTTCCCTTTGGTGCTACCTAATTTGCCGCAGTTGGCCAAACACGGCGCTTATGCTCCAGATTTAGTTTATAAGCCTGAAGAAGTAAAAGAAATGGTGGAGTTTGCCAAAGTTAGAGGTGTCAGGGTTATTATTGAAGTTGATACACCTGCGCATGCAGGTAACGGGTGGACTTTCGGTCAAGATGAAGGTTTGGGTGAACTAGCAGTGTGTGTAAATGAAAGACCGTGGAGTTTATACTGCGGCGAACCGCCTTGTGGCCAGCTCAACCCTGATAACCCCAACGTATACGACGTTCTAGAAAAACTATACAAAGACCTAATATCTTTAACGGATGAAAACGAAATATTCCATATGGGTGGTGATGAGGTAAACTTGGAATGTTGGGCCCAGCACCTACAAAAAAACAGCAACTATTACAACTACACAGACTTGCACGACCTCTGGGGCGACTTTACTCTCAAAGCTTTGAACCGACTAACCGCCGCCAACGGCGGCAAAAAAGTGCCGCACGTTATAGTGTGGTCCAGTAATTTAAGCAAACGTCCCTACATCACCAAGTATCTGGATAAGGAGAACGTGGTGGTGCAGAGTTGGGGCGCTAGTCAGTGGCCGGATACCCCAGATTTGGTTTCGGATGGGTATAAAATTATTGTTTCACATGTGGACGCGTGGTATTTGGATTGCGGTTTTGGCAGGTGGAGGGAGACAGGCGATGCTGCCTGCGATCCTTATAGGCCCTGGCAAACGGTAAGTTACTTGAGTTCTGTAATTTGTGGGCAGGGGCGAATTAAGACAATTTAAAAAAAGATTTATGTTGTCCCGTCTATACCTGTCAATTATTAAAATTATCTCTATATTGGTAATTCATAGTAAGGCCCGGTTTTACAATCGAATGTTAAATGTGCTGATTAACTAATTTAAAATTAAGTATCAACCACGAATTAATTATGAATTAAAAATTAAAATCTATTTTTGTCTTATGATTTGTTAACATGAATTTTCTTTAAAACTATTTAGGTTGGTATTACTATTACAGTAAATTACGGAACACAGTTAAGTTTAATTTTCGTTCCCGGATAATGCTTTCTCTCTTGTAAAAGTGTTGTTAAAAGAAGATAGAGCCATACTTGATTGTGTAATATTGGTTATTTATCACTGAGCTTCATTTTGACAGATGACAATTCCATATGTTCGTTATTTCATTTTAAACCGGTGTAAGAAAAGACGCAAGTAAATTTAAAATAATATCAATATTAATAATAAATACAATAATTAATTTTGTAGAATGGATAACCCAAAAATAAATGCAAATTTTTCTTCTTTTGAAGAACTTCTTTTGGTATTACTGTTGGAAAAATTTAAAAACATTGTTGAATGCAAAAAGAGTGGCAGTATTACTTGGAAGGACAAAAATAATGCATGGGAAAATATAACTAAGGAATTTAACTCTCAAAACACTAGCCCTTCAAGAAATGCTAAAGCATTAAAGGAAAAATATTCAAATTTAAAAAGAATAACTAAAAAAAATATGCCACGCAGAGAGCAAATATGATAAAAACGGGTGACATTCACAATATCGAAATTCATTATATCGAATTCAAAATATCGAACACTTTTTATCGAAAATCAAAATATCGAAAATACAAAATGTCGAAGATCAAAATATCGAAAATTCAAAATGTCGAAAATGATAATATCGAAAATTAAAATGTCGATTTGAAAATGTCGAATAATTAAAGGTAGTGTCTCCCCGACCGTCGGACGGACGTAGAAAAGTGTGTGCTTGACCGTCGGACGGACGTAGAAATGTGTAACCTCAAGGTTATGACGAATAGCTGTCATTTTGGTTATGCAGGTACACTGCATTGTGCCATACCAAACTAACCCAAACTTAACAACCCAACCCAACCGACCCCGCCCCATTGGGCCCCTCCCGCCCCATTGTCACAATCCAGCCTGCCCTTAGATATATTATACCTCTATTGCTCAATGGGGCGGGAGGGGCCCAATGGGGCGGGGTCGGTTGGGTTGGGTTGTTAAGTTTAGGTTGGTTTGGTATGGCACAATGCAGTGTACCTGCATAACCAAGATGACAGCTATTCGTCATAACCTGTATGACAGCGGTCGAGATTTTATTTTCGATAAATTGAAAATTCGATTAAATAAAATTTCGACATTTTTAAATCGACATTTTAATTTTCGATATTATGATTTTCGACATTTTGTATTTTCGATATTTTGATTTTCGATAAAAAGTGTTCGATATTTTGAATTCGATATAATGAATTTCGATATTGTGAATGTCACCCGATAAAAACGGGGGGTGGTGACTTTGAAAACACTAGATTTAATGAAATAGATATTTTATTTTTAACTATGTATATTTGTTTATAAACATTTATGACATATAAATATTTGGTTATGAAGTTAACGTAGATTTTCGTGTTAATCACTACTTCAGGTACCGATTAACTTAATTTGACTTTAACATGAAGTTTGGCTGCTAATATAAGATTGTAATACGGTTAATTAAATTAACTTCAAATTAATTTTTGATTAACATTTAACATTTGATTGTAAAACCGGGCCTATATTGGTAATTCATAGCGCCAAACCTATTCAAACCAATTTGAACCAATTTATTTTTTTTTAATTTGGAATAAAAATACCAGTTGATTTTTCATTTAAAAATAATTAAGATCCCAAAAGAATAACCGGGGAAAAACCAGAATTCATTTTTCGCAGAAGAGACAAAAAAATTATAACTTTATTTCTTTATTATTTTTCTGTGTTAGTGAGATAATATTATGTATTGATACATATAACTTACTAACACCAAAAAAGTAATAAAAACTAAATAAAATTACTCGGTTATAATCATTCTTTTGTCTTTCTTGCAAAGGATGTTTGTAGGCATGGTCAAAATCAATATTATTAAGGTCAATTTTTTTTTATTTTGTACCACCATTCTCACGTCATCGTCCCTAAACCTTACACATATAAACATTTTTTAAGGTATAAGTACACACCACTATAAGTACACAACTACCACTAAGCACAGAAACCCATAGATTATAAAAGAAACCGACTAATAAAAAAAAGACATTAAATAGCGTCTGTACTAATAAAAAAATTAGACTTCTGTAAAGCTACATTCGTAATGAATTCGCTGGCCGAGTGGCAATTTGACTCACAAGCTAAGCAAATGTGTAAAACAGTGTGATCGTTCACAATGAAATTCGACGTTAAAGTGGAAGTTGAAGTGGGCAAAATTTCTTGCAAGCTGCAAACTTCGACTTCAACTTCGACTTTCGTGCCGGCTATGCGACATGCGCATTGCCTTTGTTATGAAGGTTTGACATTTTCAATGGCGTTGAGTTTTGTGTGTGTAGTGTTTTTAATGTGATTAAATACATTTTTCTTGCTTTATTTAAATAAACTACCCATTGTTAATGTAAATGTATGTATGTATGTATGTAACTTAATGTATACTAGTTTTTTATTATTATTATTATTATTATTTATTATTATAAAGAGAACATTAGTGTTTTGTAACACATTTTAATAAGAATGTATCACTAAATAAACTATTACACAACATAAGTAAACTATTTGATTGATTGTTGTCCATTTTTGCATTTAAAAAATAACACCAAGCAAAAACAAAATAATGCAAATTCTAACCTTACAACGCACATGACAGTTACCAACGCCCATGCGTTAAATTCGACTCTAAAGTTATTGTGAATGGTAAATTTCGTGCCGACTTGCGTGCCAAAGTGTCACTCGGCCAGCGAATTCATTACGAATGTAGCTTAAGGTAGTTGTCGTGGTACAATATTGTCAAAAATTTTTAGATTATACGCACCGTAAAAGTATACGAGCTTGTAGCTAAGTGATTCATAATTTGTTCGCAAGACTGTACCCTCCATGGAGACGTCCACTTTACGTAATACTTTCAAATATTTTCATAAGTTTTAATCCGGCAACGTCGCTTATGCTTAACCAATAGATATATTGGAGACTGACTCAGTCCGTTTGAATTTACTGCGGAAATAATATCTATACTCGCGTACAGCCTTGCCAAGTTGTTTTTATCTGACACTAGTGATGTATACTTTTTACAAATTGTTGAACTTTAAACGGTTATTTATAAACAATTGGACGGTCAAAAATTTTTAATTATTTTTTTTTAAACTCAGCAAAAATACATTAAAACACTGTTAGTTTTTTGAAAACTTCTGACAGTTAGTTTTTTCTGTATAACTAAGAAACTGGTACAGAACTACAGAAAGCCTATACAATCCATGTTAATTATCCAATTTTTAATTGAATTTATCTCGGGTTATAGACGGTCAATCGACTTCAAATTTTAAGGATATATGTATTGTCATGTCCTTAATAAGTATACAAAAATTCAAAATTTTCTGATGGTATGCTTATAGCACGACAACTACCTTAAGATCTATCTTACTTTACCTTCTACTTTAAATAACTAACTGTATACTAGTGTACTTTTAAACGAATCAGAATTAAATATAATAAAAGACTTCAAATTATCATTTACCTTTGACCCTGATAGCAAAATTTGATTTTAAGAATCCTGTAAGAAGATATGACCCGGAATAATGGAATATTCTTAGAACCTTATCTTATTGCTAAGAATGTTCTTAGGGGCTTTTAAAACATTCAATAGATACCCTTTTAATGATGCAATTAGATTCTTAAAAGCTTCTTAAAACCTTCCTAAAAATCATCCTAAGAACATTTTAAGAATACGTTTTTGGAATCTTCTTAGAAGGTTTCTTATGGAGCTTCTAGAAAGCTTTTGAGAATATTTAGTCATAATATGACAGTGAAATGTATTTGTCGTCCCCTTAACATATTAATATATATTTATTTAAAAATATTAAATAAACAATTTGACCTCTAAAACATAAGTTGTATGACATTATTTCATAAAAAGTAAAATTGGAAAATTTTGTGGGATAAGTCAGATTAGATTGAAGTTGAAGATAGTTAGAATTATTATACATAAAAATGTTAATTCAGAAATAAAAAATCGGTATACAAATTAATAAATATTTATTTTTAACAGAAAATAAAATACCTATAGAAAAAGTATTTTTGTTATCGAATATTGTTTTAATTTGACAAATAACTATACAAAAATACTAATTACTAATTATGTACCTACTTAAGTATAGGTATACACCTTTATACGTAATTTATGGTATTTTTACTATTATATAGGTAACTGAACTAAATATGCTTAACAGGAATATCCCTACATAAACTTTCTATAGCAATGACTTTCTTCCCAGATAGCACAAGTACGTTCGTAGGACGTTCGTAGGACTTCCACCCAGGACAACCCGAACGTCCTCAGGATGTCCGGGGTCTGCAAAAGTACGTTCGTAGTACGTCCACAGACTTCCGAAATAGACTGTTTCAGATGTCCTCAGGACGTCCGTATTTGACCCCAAGCTGTCCAATTCGGGACATATGAGGACCGAATTAGGACATAGTTTTATTATAATAGGGAAATGTAATACAGTGTTAACAAGTGTTTTGTTATATATATATATATATATATATATATATATATACAGGGTGTCCGGGAAAAGGAGGTCAATCCGTTAACCATATATTCCTTAAGTTAAAACAATAAACCTTTCATAATACTATTTTTATTTATTTCTCCATTGAATTTCACATACCTTCATATCTCTAAATTATTTAAAAAT